AATTAAACCCTCAAAATGGCCAGAAAAAGAGAAGTTTCATCTGAAATTCGACAGTCTACTCTTGTTCTTAGAAAGGAAGGCTATTCCATGCAAGAAATTGCTAAGAAATTGAAGATTTCCTACAACGGTGTGTACTACTCCCTTCAGAGGACAGCACAAACTAGCTCTAACCAGAGTAGAAAAAGAAGTGGGAGGCCGCGTTGCACAACTGAGCAAGAAGATAAGTACATTAGAGTCTCTAGTTTGAGAAACAGATGCCTCACAGGTCCCCAACTGGCATCTTAATTAAATAGTACCCGCAAAACACCAGTCTCAACATCTACAGTGAAGAGGCGGCTGCGGGATTCTGGGCTTCAGGGCAGAGTGGCAAAGAAAAAGCCATATCTGAGACTGGCCAATAAAAGAAAAAGATTAAGATGGGCAAAGAACACAGACATTGGACAGAGGAAGAGTGGAAAAAAGTGTTGTAAATGGACGAATCCAGGTTTGAGGTGTTTGGATCACAAAGAAGAACGTTTGTGAGACGTAGAACAAATGAAAAGATGCTGGAAGAATGCCTGACGCCATCTGTTAAGCATGGTGGAGGTAAAGTGATGGTCCGGGGTTGCTTTGGTGCTGCTAAGGTGGGAGATTGTACAGGATAAAAGGGATTCTGAATAAGGAAGGCTGTGAATGCAATTGCTGCAAATGGAGGATTCTTTGACGAAAGCAAAGTTTGATGTAAAAAAAAAAATCTTATTTCAAATACAAATCATTATTCCTAACCTTGTCAATGTCTTGACTCTATTTTCTATTCATTTCACAACGTATGGTGGTGAATAAGTGGGACTTTTCAGGAAAACACAAAATTGTTTGGGTGACCCCAAACTTTTGAACGGTAGTGTATATATCTCTTTTAATTAGGTTCTTTATTTATTCGTCTTTGTAAAAATTACCTTATTTATTTATTGTCCATTTTAATCTTTAACTTTATTTATTTATTACTTATAGATTAAGTTGAAGATTATAAGGGACAATAAATAAATAAGGTAATTATTACAAAGGCGAATAATAAAGAGGCTAATTAAGAGATTCATACATTTATGTCTCACTGTATAATTTATTTTCTACCTACATTTATTAGTGTATTGTATTTTTGGGAGCAATTAATTGTACGCTTATTTATTTTTTGAGCATTTATTTATTTCTGTATTTATTCTTAAATATGGCAGAGTTGGTCCTCCACAGAGTCCTACCTCGCGTTCTCGTGAATTGAGAAACGGCTTTTATTTTGAAGTATCACACCGGAAGTAACGCTTTCACTCAAAGTGAACTTGATTTCTGAGGAGACTTTAACTCATATCAGTGCTCATTCTTTGTCTTCTGAGTTGTCCCACTACCACAACACCCGGATTTGGTTGATCGAGTGAGTTTAAGGTAGTAGTGAACAGGTTATTATCTCACACACGGGTTTTCACTCCTTCAGTTGAGCTAGTGTATAAAGAAAGTAGTGAACGTTAGCTAACCTCTGCTAACAGCTACGCAGTGTACCCTGATGCTAACTTTGCCCAGCGTCTATAAATTGTCACAATGTCAGAGCGGTTTTCCTTTAGCTTAAAAAGCCGAAGCTTAATTCAGGTTGTTTGCCTCTAAGCTAATCTCTCAGAATAAATGAAAGGTTTTAAAAGTATGGTCAGCTAAAGCTAGCGCTCCGGCTAAAGGTGAGCTTCAGAGTTGTTTTGAATCATGTAACTCAGGGACTTTTCACCTTGCAGCTCCTCTAAGACTCCTGCTGCTCTTTAAAGGTGGACCATCAAGCTTTTAGCATGAAAACCTGTTAGTTAGAAAGATTATAACTGTGTAACACCTGGTACTGTTGTTGAATTAGCATCTAAGCTTTAAGGGGGGGGGAGTCCAGTTATTTTCATTTCATTTGACCAAACCTTCCTAATTCAATTCAAATCAGTTTATTTGTATTGCACTAATTCACAACACCTGTTATCTTAAGGCACTTTACAGTTCACCAGATCATCCAGTCAGATTAATTCAAAAGTTTTCTATCTAAGGAAAACCAGTTGATTGCATCAACTCATTGACTAGAAGGCAATCCCTCACACTAAGCATGCTTGTAGTGACAGTGGAGAGGAAAAACTCCCGTTTAACAGGAAGAAACCTCCAGCAGAACCAGGCTCAGTGTGAGCGGCCATCTGCTGAGGCCGACTGGGGTTCAAGGAGACAGAGCAGACATAGAAAAAGCAGCTGTAAAAGGCGGCCCCATCCAGGAAACACAGCAAGGCAGACGAGCTCCGAGCCAACTCCCATGTCAGAGGATGAAGAGAGAACATCCAGCCAGTCACAATCAGAGAAACAGGACTACAGTGGAAAAACAGGCCGATATCCAACATCTATAAACAAAGGTGTTGATGGCAGCAGCACAGCTGATATTTCTCTCCAGGATGGAGTCACAGCCAAACAGGAACAGAACAGATGAAGCTACTATGAGAAAAAGCAGAGAGAGCAGAACGTTAGAGATTGAACTAACAGATTCTGCAGAGTGGGAGAATAGAGATTGAATGATGAAGTAGGGGTCCCTATGTGCTCCAGCAGTCTAAGCCTATAGCAGCATAACTATAGAGCTATCTCAGGTTAATGAGGTTCTGTGTTTGTGCCCAGCAGAAAACACAGCCATGTGCAGCTGTGTGCGGAGCTCCAGGGCAATGGCTCCTGCACTGCTTCCCAGGCTGCTGCTCCCTCAGACGGGGATCAGACTGGCTGGCAGGGGGCTCTGGACCTCTCCCCAATGCCTGGCTGTCAGCGGGGACAACCAGCTCCCTCCTCTGCCGAGCCAGGCCCGGGTTGTAATCTGTGGAGGAGGTATTGTTGGGACGTCAGTGGCCTACCACCTGGCTAAACTGGGCTGGAAGGATGTAGTTCTGCTTGAGCAGGGCAGGTAAGAAAATAAACTTTTAATATTCTGGATTATTATTGTTAAAGATTACACTTGGATGCTTTTAACTTCTGTTATTCCATTAGACTTGCTGTCTCCAAACTCATTTCCCTCTATAAATAAAGATTGTTATATTAATTTTTTGTTTTAATGCTGTTTTCTTTTTTGCATCCCACCAAGGCTTGGTGCAGGAACAACTAGACTGTGTGCAGGCATTCTGAGCATGGCTAAACCTATTTCCATTGAGTCTCAGATGGCCAACTACTCCAGCAGCCTTTATCAGCAGCTAGAGGGGGAGACTGGTGTCAAAACAGGTTAGATTCTTTCATACCGTAAATCCTCTAATATAGGACGGGGCCTTTATTTCACTCAGGAGCATCTTGGTCCAGGTCATTTTTGGAAGGAGGCCAGAATTAGAGGCAGACCTCTATTTCTATTTGATTAAAACAGACTACAAGTGGAATAAATAAAAACGAGATTTTGTGTCTCTTTGAACTATTAAATAGTAGGTTCATTTATAGAAAAAGTTTACAGGCATTAAAGTACTTCGGCCCAAGGCCAGATTTCCGTCTCTTAGCAATTGCCTGTGGGTAAAAAAAAAAAAACCTCAAAAATAAATGGACGGTAAATTAAAAAAGAAAATCGAAATCCCTCCTGCATTTGTCAGCCAATGGGGGCAAAGGGGGGCTCTGAAACTAACAGTATTAGCCAATCAGAAGAAGAGGGGAGCGGGTCTAAGTAAAGCGTGTACCTCCTCCTCTCGTTTCTTGCCTCAAGTCGGCAGATTGATGCTATTTATTTGCCATTTATACATAATCCACCCGGAAAAAGAACATCCTCCACTATCCCTTTAGTTATCAACTAACTGAGACATTTAAGACATTTTTTTACACCTATCTTCCTTTTCTGTGTCTGAACTAGAATTTTAATCGGGTACTGGTAATTTAATGGATCAAGGACACTCATTAAGGAATGCAAAACCAATCTACAACAGTGTCACTTTGTCAGTAAAAAGAGTTCACCTTTAGATCACAGGTCAGGTGGGAAGTAAGAGAAAGTCCTGCTTCAAGTTTACGACATTGGAGAAAAACGGCACAAATATAGAGAAGGAGCTGTGAACAGAAGAGGCCAGATAGGTAATATTTGGCCTAAAGGTGTAAAACCCCAAGAAAAACAGGGTAGTGATGGAGTCATGCTGCGGGGATGCTTTTGTTTACAAGCACAAAGAGGCTGCTTTAGCTACAAGTGTAACTAAACAGACAAGGTTTTGCTTATTCATTTGTTCAATCCAGTTGGGAATCTTTGGCAGGACTCAGATTTCTGTGCCGCTGCTCTCCACCCAAACTGTCTAAGCTGGAACAGAATAGAATAGGCAGACGTTTTAGTGCTCTGATGAGAACAAATTTAAAGTATCAAAATGTTAAAATAAAAACGGCTTAAGGTGTGTGAAGACTTACCAGGTTCTGCATGTCCACATTATTGGTTGGGGTGCCTCATTTTGAGCTCTTATGACTTAATGCTTGTCCTTTGGCTTTATTATTATTTTTTTCTCAGGTTATGTGAAGACAGGTTCTTTGTGTTTGGCACAGAATCAAGATCGCTTCATTTCACTGAAACGTTTGGCAACTAGACTCAGGTAAGACAGTTGATTGAACTCCTTGGTGTCGACAGCTGCGGGGATTTTAGGGGTGTCATTATTAAAAAATAAAATAATAATGTATGATCTATTCACAGAGTGTTGGGGATCAGCTGTAATATCATTAAACCTAAAGAGATAGCTAAACTCCACCCTCTAGTTAATATTCATGACCTGGTGGGGGCGCTCCATCTCCCAGATGATGCTGTGGTGTCCTCTCCTGATGTCAACCACGCGCTGGCTGTAGCTGCTGCGCGACAAGGTAACATCAGGTCGCCGATAGCTAAGACACCGATAGCATCTCTCTCCTTTCTTCACTCCGTTTATTTCCCTCCCATCCAGGGGTTCAGATTCTGGAGCGTACCACGGTTCAGCAGGTGGTGGTGGAGAAGGGCCACGTCACGGCGGTGGAAACTGATCGCGGCTCCATTGAATGTGATTATTTTGTCAACTGTGCCGGCCAGGTAATGCTCGGATCTGTTATCCGAATGCTGACTCATCAGTGTGCCTGGATCTGAACTTAACTGGGTCAGTCGTGTTTTTCACATGCTTCCTCTTTGCATGTGTCTCCTCCCTAGTGGGCCTATGAGCTGGGTCAGGCCAGCGAGGTGAAGGTGTCGGTTCCCCTCCACGGCTGCGAGCACTTCTACCTCCTCACCAAACCTCCACAGGAGCCACTTTCCCCCCACAATCCAGGTCTCACTAGCCAAAGACGCCATTCACTTCTTTTTGCAGCAGTTTCTGATGCTTTTCCAAAATACATTTCTGCCTCTACTTTTAATTAATATAATGCACAAATATGAGACACTGATCTGACGAATTGGACCAATAGAGTTTAAACGCCCTGAGAAATGGGCTGGTGACGGGAAGCAGGTGATTTTTATTTTCACCTTCCAGGTGGAAACACAGAAATGTGCTGTCAGGTCGCTCTTAAAGGTGTGGCGTCTGTTACAGCAGGAAGTAGACTCAAATGTCACCATCTAAAACATGACTGATGTGTTTTAAAAACTAAACCTGCATGATATTCTGTTTATATACATTCTCATGGGAAAATCAAAGTTTGCATCGTTCACATAGCAACACTTTGCATGATGCCAAAGCAACATGAAGCATAGATCTGATAATAATGTGGTATCGGTTCAAATATTGAATAAAATTGTAAATTAAGGACTGGTAGAAACGGGCCCCATTCATAAGGACATATCTATTCAATCTATTTCTATGTTAAACTAAAGTTACATTTAAAAATCTCTTGGAAAGCAGAAAGGTTTCCCCCTTTTTTGAGCATTCGTCTTTCATTCAGTCAGTTTATATCCGCACAGTCGCATATTTCTTTACAAGAGGGAATTTGTTCTGTTAACACGATTAACCCGTTTTCAATAACAAGCCTAATCTTCACTTCATATAGGAAAGATGATTTTGTGAAAGCCATTTTGTACCATGATGGCCTCCGTGTTGGTGGAGGGGGAGAAGCGGTGCGAGAGAGGTCATTTCTCTGCATTCTGACCATTAGATGTCGCTGAAAATTACACACTGTAGCTTTAAAGTGCCAATAATATCATTCCATTCTATTAGTAATTTCTGATGGCCTAAATAGGTTTACATAGGCACAGAATCTGCTCCACAATGCCTCCTTTGAACACAGATCATCAATTTGCACCTTACTTTCAGATGTACTAAAATGATGCAAAGACTTTAGACCTGGAAAATCGCTTTGCATGTGGCAAATTATTACATTTTCATATCCTCCACCCATGAATTTGCACTTTTTACTTCATTAGAATGTTTTTATGCATATGGATAAACACACACACACAAAAAAAAAAGAGTGCTGACAGTGTCTGCTAAATTACAAATGCAAATAATTTAGCACGTTCTTCAAAGATCCACTCTGCATATAAAAGACATGTTTGCAACTGTTTTAAGACTTGTAGACCTAAAGTTCAAGCCCTTTGTTGAATTGGTGAAGGAGTGAGTCGACATAGAGCAGGCTTCACCAGGAAGGCTGATTGCTTTACAGGGAAGTACCTGCTTTCTATTTTAGCCTCTTTTATTGAAAATACTTTATTTGGAAATGCAGATAGCCTTTTAGAGGCCACCAGATTACTATTAAGGTTGTATCTTCAAGGAAATACATAAAGGTGCTGCTGTAGTATGCGCATTGCCAGTTTAAGATACTAAAGACTGATCCTAATTTAGCACTGAGAGAGAACAGTATGAGCGATTAGAAAACCTGAGGTTGGAAACCTTAAATCTACTTGATTGTGTGTTCTTTTGGGTCCCTGAGCAAGACCCTTAACCCCACACTGCTCCCCGGGCGCCGCACAATGGCAGCCCACTGCTCCCCAAGGGGATGGGTTAAATGCAGAGTTCATTTCATTTCATTGCTTTGTACTTATGACAGTGTAATGACGATAAAGTTTAATTCTATTCTATTTATTAAGTAGGACTTGTGGGTTGAATTTCTCTAGTTATAATCGATATGGATGGGAGGATGTACGCACGGCCGTGGCAAGGAGGCCTTTTGTCTGGAGGCTTCGAGAAGAACCCTAAACCCATCTTCACCGAGGGCCGCAACCAGCTGGAGATCCAGAACATGCAGGAGGACTGGGATCACTTTGGTAAGGAGAGACTGCCTTTCTCTGCTACTTTATCACATGCCTTATTTATATAATGTGTTAGGAGTGGAGGTAGGGGGGTGGGGGGTAATGCAGGTAACAGACAGCGGCGCGGCAGCGGACCCTCCGGTTCCAACCTGATTTAAAACATTGATCAATTACCGCATGTTGTCCGATAGCAGTGTCTAACTTCATTCGTGCTGCTTCTCCTGTTAATACGGTAAACCCCTCCAGAGCGTCCGGCATCAGGCTGTACAAATTAGCCAATGAGCTGCTGTCAGTCTGGGCTGCTGCTGTTAAATACTATGCACGAGAACGCTGGGACCCTTTTTCTACCTGGATCTCCGCTCTTTTTGGCCCTCATGTCCCTCCGTCGTCGGACTAAATCGTATCCAAACCCACAGTGTGTAGCATAGATCACGCTTCAATATTGAGCATAACTTAAAAATGTCTGTGTCAAGCTCACTGTGGCACAATGCTGTAAGAGTATAACCAGGAAGCGAGGTAGGAGGGCAAAATAGGTTTAGCGCCACCGCAGCACGGGATGGAGAATTACGCCCAGGAGCAAAATGGATAAAAATAGACCGGAGGAAAAAAAACACATAAATTGATTATCTTGCGGACGTGTTGATGCATCGGATCGTCGGCTGTTGGATCGATGCATCGATACAAAACGATTATTATTTACACCCCTATTAAATACTTTTAGACACAGCAGGCAAACCTGTGGCAAGCCGGGCGATGGGAAAGAAGGAGAAAATGATGAGAAAAAGAGAGCAGAGAAAGTGTGGACTGCTGGAAGAACTCTGGTGAACTGCTGACAGAAAAGTGAAATGGTGCTCAAAGATGACCCTGCACATTTAGAGGATGTTTGGCTCAACCTGCTGCTGTGAAGCAGGATTCTCCACCATGAACAGAATCAAAAATAAATTTGGATCCAGGCTCAAAATGAGCTCTACTTAAAAAAAACACTTTAGATTTTAAAATGCAAAAAAAATTCTATTTTTTTTATTTTTTTATTTAAAAGGTCAATATACAACATTTTATTCAATTAGGTTTATTTCTATAGCGCCGATTCACAACAGCTGTCATCTCAAGGCACTTTGCAGTTCAGCAGATCATCCAGTCACATTGATTTAAAGTTTTAAATTTAAGCAAAACCAGCTGATTGCATCGACTCATTGACTGAAAGACAATCCCTCACACTAAGCATGCTTGTAGCGACAGTGGAGAGGAAAAACTCCCGTGTGAGCGGTCATCTGCCGAGGTTGACTGGGGTTTAAGGAGACAGAAGCAGAGATACAAAAGGTAACTGTGAACCAGCTCCACAGGCGGCCCCGTCCAGGAAACACTCAGCCAGGCAGACGAGCTCCGAGCAGCTCCCATGTCAGAGGATGAAGAGAGCACATCCAGCCAGTCACAGTCAGAGAAACAGGACTACACTGAAAAACAGGCCAAGCTCCAACATCTATAAACAAAGTTGTTGATGGAAGCAGCACAGTTGATATTTCTCTCCAAACAGGAACAGACCACATGGAGGCATAAAAAAACCTAATTTTATTTCAGTGTTAAATTCTGTTTAAAGTAACAGATTATTATTGAAAATGTCACCGGACCTTTACTGGTTGGTGATCTATTTTATTCGGACCCCGCTGATTTTTAATTGGTTACCCCTGCTTTAGACTCATCAACATTAATAAAAGATGTCTGTATTTACTTTTACTGTAATGTGTTTTTAGCAAAACACCTTCAATCTGCACCATTTTAGAAGTTCTGCGGATTTATTGTTTTTTTTTTTATCTGTATAGTTGTGATGAAAATCTTGTAGTCTTTAATATCATGCTGCACTCTTAATAGAAAAGTTCAAAACTGGAGGAGGGTCTGTCCGCTGGAAAGGCTTTGTACAGGTTGAGGTTATTTATGTTTAAGAAAACGTAACAATTTGGATTATTTGAAGAGGGAATTATCTGGATCCAGGCGTGCAGGAAAGCTGGCTTTAAAGGAGTCCTCTCTGGCGGCTGTAATGTGTTTCCGTATGTTTTTTTTTTTCAGAGCCGATGCTCAGCGCTCTGCTGAGGAGGATGCCGAACCTGGAGTCAGCAGAGATCCATCAGTTGGTCAACTGTCCGGAGTCCTTCACACCCGACATGCGCTGTCTGATGGGGGAAACGCCTGGTGTTTCTGGTTACTACGTGCTGGCAGGGATGAACTCCTCGGGTCTGGCCTTCGCCGGAGGAGCTGGGAAGTAAGCAGAAAATCTACAATAACTCGGTTCACCAGAGAAAGCCTTGCACTGAATGTGAAAGAAGAGTTTAGAATGCGCTGTGAGGTTGATGCTCTGATCGATTGTTGAGGGAAGCTTAAACAGCCTCCTCCTGCCGTGTGCTCTCCATGCAGGTACCTGGCAGAGTGGATGACCTACGGCTACCCCACCGCCAACGTCTGGCCTCTGGACATCAAGCGCTTCGGAAACCTGCAAAGCAGCAGAACCTTCCTGCGACACAGAGTGATGGAAGTCATGCGTGAGTAATGACACTAAGGATTTCTTTCTAATAAAGGTCAGAGCCTCAACAGGTCATTCATTCAACTCCACTTTCTGCTTCAGTTTGTGAGTTTATAGACAATGGGATGGAACTGATGTATTGATATATTCTAGTATTTTCTAGTTCTGGGTTTTAATCCTTCCATCATTTCACCTTCAATTCTCTCCCTTGCAGTTTTTGTTCATAGCTAATTCTTTATGATTAGTCTGACTGCTGGATGCTCTAAATCTGATAATTTGATCAGATTTAGGAGAGAGTCGACATGGAGGCTGAATGTTTTACAGCGAATTAGCTGCTCTCTGCTTTTGATTTCAGCCTCTTTTGTTGAAAATACTGGATTTTGAAATGCCGATAGCCTTTTTGAAGCCACCAGGTTACTGTAAGGCTTGCATTTGATGCTACGTTCACACCTAAAGCAGCAGGAGCAGCAAACACGCGCGTGCTGCTTCATTTTTGATGGTTGTACAAGTTTTGTTCTGACGCGCTCTAGCCGTGCGGTCAAAAAGTGGGTCTTATGCGCGTTGGGCGGAGCTACTCTGTCCTTACTTTGCCTGGAACAATAGCAGCTATATTTGCTGTGATCAGTGGGTAAAACGTAGTTTTATTCTATTTTGAAGTGAGAAAGTCCACCTGAAAACATCTTCAGTGCAGTCAGTTCATCCAGATTACCGTCCTGCCTTTAAATATTATTTCTCTGTGGGAGCCGCTTAGACCCCTGTACACCGGCGGTGTGCTGTCAGTAGAAATCCCATTCAACAGCAGCCTCTGACCCGGTCACCTCCTCGCGGTTTGCCGCAGCGGCTGGAAGGTGTTTTTGTATGCAATCCAAAATGCAGGCACCAGGATAATTTAAGCGAACATGCTTTTCAGTCAGATTTCGGTGTTTTAAGTTAATTTAGCACTTAGAGCATCGCGTGCGTCAGATGCTCCGAAACTCATGCCCTGCTGCTCCTGCTGCTCTAGACGCGCTGCGGGACCTTTGCTGCGCCGTGATGCACGTTAACCATTGACTTTGCATGTAAACTAGCTGCTCTGATGCTTTAGGTGTGAACGTAGCATTAGAGGGAATGCATAAAGGGGCTGCTATAGTATGCTCACTGCCATTTTAAGATGCTAAAGGGTGATCCTAATTGAAGCACTGAGAGAGAACAGTATGAGCGATTAGAAAACCTGAGTTTGGAAACCTTAAATCTAATTGAATGTGTTGTTTTAAGTCAAGGTTGGTTAGAGGGGGAGTGGCGGCCTAACTTAGGGCATAGAGCTTGGAATCAACAGGTTATGAGTTCAAGCCCCACTCCCACAGCCTGCCACTATGGGTACTAACGATATATTAATCGTTTAGTTTGTGAATATTCTACAAAACTGGTTGAATAATAAGTTTAGAACTCTGGAAAAGCCTTACACAACTTTCTCTCTATGCCCCGGTGCTTTATCTTTTCGTTAACCTGTGCTTTACTGCGGTTTGTTTGTCTCTATTTAGCGCTGCTGTATGAGCTGAAGGTTCCTCGCTGGGACTTCCAGACCGGCCGGCAGCTGAGGACGAGTCCCCTCTATGACCGCTTGGACACCCAAGGGGCGCGCTGGATGGAAAAACATGGCTTTGAAAGACCCAAATACTTTGTTCCACCAGGAAAAGGTACAAACACTACTCAGCATCAACATTAAACCTTCAGGAGTCACTGTAAGGTTCAGGTGGAAGGACGCTCCTGAGGGAAGCAACAGGAAGTCAATAGTTTGACTTCTGAGAATTTTTCTGCATTAACTGACTCTTATAAGCTCTACCAAGAAAAGGATTTTATGGAAACCTTTCGTTTATTTAACATCACAGCTTTAAACAACAAGAGTTTGAGTTTATAAAGTACAGTTTATCTTTGCTTTTTGTTTGTTTTTCTGGTAGATCTGCTTTCCCTGGATCAGAGTAAGACCTTTTATAAGCCAGACTGGTTCGATATTGTTGGAGCAGAAGTGAAATGCTGCAAAGAGGCCGTCTGTGTCATCGACATGTCCTCCTTCACCAAGTTCGAGCTCACTGTGAGTCTCAGCAGCTTTTATAGTCGCCCACAGATCAGTTAGAGGAAAAAGTAGAGTCTCTTTTCTATTCGCAGCTCCTGATTGTTTAACAGTTTTTAAACATCATCTTTATCATCATTGCACTGATCTGCATCCCAGTAAAACACTACAAGGGGCAGCTGGTCTCTAATATAACAACCTAACAAGGTCAGGTTTCTGATTTGTTCAGCTATGTTACTGTTAATCTTTACTTAATCATAACAAAACACCCACACACCTGCCTCTTCTGATGCCACATAAAGCAATTTATTAGAATGTTTTCTCATCGTATTGCTTGTTTTTAATTAACCTCCTCCTTCAAAGCTGCTTACTTCTATTCTCTACGGCTAAAGTTAAATATTTAATACAACACTGCATGATTTCCAGGGAAATTTGGCCCCAATCAAACTCATAAAGTTGATCTGTGAACAGAACCGAGAGCAATTGATATCACCAGATTTCATTTTCAATCCCTTTGACCAATCAGGTCAGTGTGTTTATGTGAAGCTATAAAGAGTCCCAGGACATTGTTTTCTACAGAGCTACTGTTTTAATAACATAATACAAGACAGAAAATCATTTTAGGCCGGCAGCTGTTCCCAGAATGCACCTGTAGAGAAGCCTGCACCATCCTGGCAGAAACAGGAGATGATGGTCCGTTCGTGTAAAGCAGGGGTCTGCAACATTTACAATCCAAAGAGTCCAGCAAAGTAAAAGTCATTTAGAGCTGCATATATTATATAACCTGTTAATAAAACACAACTTTTTTTTATACCTGCAATAGGAAATCTGTTTCCATTTTTTTTTTCACCTTTTAGAATAATGAAAATATGAAAATCTGTATAAAGGTAAAGCAGGAATTTTCTTCTGTAGGATATCACTTGATGTAAAAACGTAAAAAACTAAAACAGAATTAGCATATTAATGTCAAGAAAGAAAAAAAAGATGTAAACACATCTTTGGATCATTTAGTTTAATTCTGTTCTAAAAATGTAAATATTCTTTAAAAACCCACTAACGTTTCTAAGGCTAATATATTATTATACATTTGTTTAATTTTAATATTACTTTTAGTTACTGTTAAGGGCCCTTGTAGGGGTTCCAAAGAGCCCCTTCCGGCTCCGGAGCTGCAGGTTGCAGACCCCTGGGCTAATAAAAGATGAGATAGCATTCTGGTGGTGATGTCAAATCATATTATTAATTAAAGATAAGCCAGTAGGATTAATGATGTTATAATAAGCCCATGTAACAAAACCAGAAACAGATTTGGAGCTTTTAAAGTCTGATCATCATCGTTTGGTTCAGCCTGACCATCCACAGCAGCATCCATCACATGTTACAGCCCAAATGCTTCAGCATCAGATCTGTCTAAAAGCACCACTAGTGTTTGCTAACTCTGGTCGGTTTAATACCTAAATCCTTTGGTGGAAGGATTTAGGTTTTCCTGGGAGAACTGATGCTATAACCTCTCCTTCCGTCCTACCGTCTCAGTCTACAGGGGAGCAGGCTTTGGAGCTGCTGCAGTATCTGTGTGCCAACGACCTGGACGTCCCGGTCGGACACATCGTTCACACCGGCATGCTGAATGAGAGAGGAGGCTATGAGAACGACTGCAGCGTGGTGCGCATCAGCAAGAACAGGTTGGAGCTGGTTAAGGAAGGAGGGACGCTGCAGACATGTGGTCAAGTTTACTTAGAAGTAGATTTTAAAATAAGTTTTTTTTTTTCTTCAGTTTCTTCATCATCTCTCCGACTGACCAGCAGGTCCACTGCTGGTCTTGGATAAAGAAGCACATGCCCAATGACCCACACCTCCACCTAGAGGATGTGAGCTGGAAGTACACCGGTGAGCAGAGGCTGGATGGACAGCTTCCCCCTTAGCCTCTAATGCTACGTTCACACTTAAAGCAGCAGAAGCAGCTAGTTTACATGCAAAGTGAATGGTTGGTGCGCATCTATGCACAGCAAACGGTCCCGCAGTGCGTCTGAGCATCTGACAAGCGCAATGCACTTCAGAAGCAGCAGCTGCTGCAGTTGGAAAAGTTTAACTTTTGCTGCTCGACGCGCCACATCAATCAATCAGAGGAGCTGATCTGGAGCCAGCAGGGAGACAGCCACAGTTCTGCTTCTGCAGATCGCTGTGATCACTCCTCTGAGACAGTTTGTTAATGCCTAGAGTTTAACCTTTATTAAAGCACCTGCTGGTAAAATATGTTAAATTTAATAATTCTGGTGCCTGCAGTTTGGATTATGTACGTGAAAAATGCCTTCCAGGCGAAGAGGCGACTGGGACAGAGACTGCTGCCCGTGTACGGGGGTCTGAGCGGCTCCGACAGAAACAATATTTGAAACCATGATCGTAATCTGGATAAACTGACTGCACTGATGTAGTTTTCAGGTGGACTTTCTCACTTAAAATTATATTGAAATACTTTTTTACCCACCGATCACAGCATATAGAGCTGCCTTTGTTACAGGCAAAGAAAGGATAGGGTAGCTCCGCCCAATGCGCATTAGACCCATTTTTACACCGCACAGCTAGAGCAGCAAAGATGCTTCAGCCGCGTGTCAGAATTAAACTTGTACAAGCATCAAAAATGAAGCAGCACGCTGTTTTTTGCTCCCTCTGCTGCTTTAGTGTGAACGTAGCATTAAAGACCTTATCTAATGATTGACTCGCTTCTCTTTTAAACCTAGCTTTGAATCTGATTGGTCCACGAGCGATGGATGTCCTGGCTGAGCTCTCCTACGTCTCCATGACACCAGAGCACTTCCCCTCCATGTTCTGTAAGGTGAGGAAGAGGAGCCGACTGGCTTTGTTTTGAGCTTCGTTCTCGCCCTCATGTTTGCTCTGTTTGTGTTTGCAGGAAATGAGTGTGGGCTATGCCAACGGGATCAGAGTGATGAGCATGACTCATACCGGAGAACCAGGTTTCATGCTCTACATCCCTATAGAGGTGCAAACATGACAGGATGTTTAACAGGAGAAATGTTCCACTTTTAGTGACGAAGTTGAATCATTTACCTTTTCTCTGTACAATGATTTTCACTATAAGTAACTGGAAAAGAGTTTTAACAACCGAAAAATTCACAATCTGAATTAATATCTGGATTTTCTATAATCCACATCATAATCAGGCTCATTTTATAAATGCCTTCCTTTAACTTGCATTTTATGCACATTCACCAGTTTTTTTATGTTGTTTTTAGGTTTGAAAATACCACCTCCCCTACTTGTCATTATTGCTAAAATAGCTCAAAGTTGGTGTCATTTGACTCAGTATTTCCCTTATTAAAGGGTCCAAGTCCAGTGGATTATGATAGAATAAGGCTATAGGCTCCAAGTGACCGTCCTGATAGGGTTTAGTGTATTTTGAGCCTAAACAGAATCCCAGGACCCGGTGTAATGAGTTGACATAAACAGACATGCCGCCATCTACTGGCAGCTGCACTGAACTACCAGAAAGTCACAAGGTTCCAACCAATGATCTTAAACTTGCATTAAACTAGTTATTAAAGAACAGGACTCGCGTTAAGCTTCTACAGACTGACCTACACTTATGCATTGTCCATAAATCTGGTTCTGAGGCCAGAAATAAAGGAGATGTAGGACCACCTACCTTGTTAGATTGGTTTGATATCCTCATAAAAGCAGTAGGATAGCTTTATGTCAGCTTCTGATTGACGTAACATCTTCGTATGATGCTTTATAGTAAAGATTTAGAGTTTAAAAATGTTTAAGGGCCTAGCGGCTGATGTTGGTGTATTCATCTTTCCTTCAGTACGCGCTGCACGTGTACAATGAGGTGATGTCAGTGGGGCAGAAGTATGGCATCCGTAATGCAGGGTACTACGCACTGAGGAGCCTTCGCATCGAGAAATTCTTCGCCTTCTGGGGTCAGGACCTCGACACCTTCACCACACCGCTAGAGTGCGGACGAGAGTTCAGGGTCAAGTTCGACAAGGTCAGTTTGGTCGCAGCCTTTATCTGCTCTCCGACCAACAGGTTTAGAGAAAACCCCCAAACTTCCTGATTGTTTTCTCTATCTGATCTTTGGTCCCACCTGCCTTTCTCATCTGTAGGACACTAACTTCCTTGGCCGCGAGGCGTTGCTCCAGCAGCGTCAGGAGGGAGTGTTCCGCCGGTTCGTAATGCTCGTCCTGGAAGACCACGACACGGAGCTGGACCTGTGGCCGTGGTGGGGCGAGCCCGTTTACCGCAGCGGTCAGCTGGCTGGAACAACCACCAGCAGCGCCTACAGCTACACTCTGGAGCGCCACGTCTGCCTGGGCTTTGTGTCTCCGCCCCCAGGCCCAGAGGGCCTCCCCACGCCCATCACCCCCGACTTCATCAACCGTGGCGATTACGAGGTAGACATAGCGGGACAGCGCTACCGAGCCAAAGCAAAGCTCTACCCCTTCAGCTCCCTCTTCGCCCAACAGAAACGGCGCAAGGAGGACATGGAGCTCAGCAACTTCCAGGGAAAGTGAGGCAGCGGTGGGATCAGTTTCCTCCGACACTCCTTAGATCATATCCACTCCAGATCCCACCCAGTGCCAATGTCTGCTCCATTTCTGCCACCATACGATGGGCTGGCTGTACAAGCACTCCCCGTTAACCCTCTAATATTTAAATTTCATGTTTCATCCTCTGCTTTTAAAGTGCAATATTTAAGAACCTATTGCTTGAATTCTCATAATAATAAAACCCAGTTTGTTTTTCCCACCATGTGCAGATCCTGACTGCAGTGCTGCTGCAGTCATTTGCCTTTCTCAAGGCAAGATCAACACTAGCTGTTGCAGACTATATTCACTGACCTTTAACCCGTCCTGAAGGAGTTTATATACCGACAGCTTCA